TACAATAAAATTGATTCATTGATATTTCATCGTCACAAGAAAAATGAAATGGAATTGAAATAATTAATGATGAATTAAATTTATTTAAAGTACTGGAATTGAGTAGTATAAAATTAACTCATTGAAATTTCATCGTCATAAGAAAAATGAAATGAAATTGAAATAATTATGATTATTGATATTGATCAATAAAAAATATTGTTTTTGTATTTGAATAAAATTGATAGATAAAACTTTAACTCATGTGTGAGTTGAGATTTGTTAGAGATAAAATCAACAGGTATACTATATATACTAAGTTGATTTTATATTCCACTTGAAATACTTACCCAATGCAGCGTGACCACCAGTTAACATAGCCGCAAGTATCAGGGCTGCAGTTGCAGCAGCTGCAGCTGTGCTGATTCCATACGAGCCCATCTGTAGAAAAACAAAAACAAAAAATAGAAAAAGGTAGAAGGGTGAGTTACCTTGTTAAGATTATTAACAGAAAAATTCTATCGTAATGTAAGTAAATGTGTATTATTTATTTTTATTATTATGATTATTATTATTATTGGTTTGTGTGTGATAATAATAATAATAATAATAATAATAATAATAAAAATCATCATTATCATCTTTAACTTGTCGTTGTCACATATTTCTACTTGGAATCTTACAAAAAAAAAAAAAAAAAAATAAAGATAAAAAACTAACTCGATAACTTTTACAATGACGCAACGTTTGCGTTTCCACATAGCATTCCTGATCCCCGTATCAAGTGTTGCACGTGTGTTTGTAGAATGTCGGTTAGTTTTATATAAACTTGTAGAATACATACATACATACATACATACATACATACATACATACATACATACACATATGTATATACATTCATGTATGACTTCATATAATCATTTTGTAAATAATATTCGAAGTTAACGATTGACACTTTTTATTTTCATCCTTTATCTTGTTTTTTTTTTTCGTGACACTTGTGTGACTTGTGTGAATGTATTTTTTTTTTGCGGGGTGGGGGGCTGTTAAAAAAATACAGTAATTAGTGGGACAATTTTTTGAAAAATATTAAACGTTTGTTTATCAATTTTTTATTTTATTTGATTGATAAATAATCACACGGGAAATTTGTAATTGATGATTTCGATATTATTTCATGTTATTTTGTTTTATTTTATTTTACTATATAATATATTTATTATATAATAAATTAGATAAATTTAATTTTAATGTTATATAAATAAATTTATATTTTATACATATATATATATATATATTTAATATATTTTATTAATATATTGTATTTATAAAAAGAAATTAATTTATTTATTAATTTAATTAATAAAAAACAAAGTAAAGCTACCTATAGATAATAAAACAATATTACACACAAACAATAAATGTTTATCTAATAAACAATATTACAATATAATATTGATAAATTAGACGTACAATTTATCTACAAAGGAAACAATTTGACTAATATGACAGTCGTAAGAAAGATTGATAAATCAATCTCCAAAAAACAAAAACAAAAATCAAGACAGGAAGTAATGGACAGGTTTGATAAAGACTGGAAGAGTACATTATAGAGTAGGGGTACTTGAAGAACCAGATACGATCCTGTATTAATCATCAGAAGCCGGTTCACCCAATGTCCCCCTCCTTCCCCTTCCCCCTCCCCCTCCCCCCTAACACTTGGTAAGACTTGGTGTGGTAAGATTATAGTACTAGGTTGGTTCATGCTTCATCGGCGCCCACTGAGAACGCGATCTCCTTTTATAAAAATTCTTTAAATACAGTCCTGGTGATCTAAGAGTGTAGGAAATATCTCATTGGATGTTCCTCAACGTCGAAGAAATAATTCTTTTATACTTGTATTAGTGTGTGATTGTGTGTGTATACGTGCATACCAGTTGGTAACACGTGGAGACTAGTATTCCCTTAACTCCCCCCCCTCTTCCTCCCCCACCTCCCCAACCACCAACCCTCCCCCTATTGGAAAAGACTTCCTTTGTTTTTTTTTCTGCTCGATTTGTTCCTGTTTTACTGACTCCTCTCGTTCTAACCTAACTTCCTGGATTACTTCTTCTTACTTCTACAGTTTTTATTTGTCCTTGAGAAAGTACCGTCCGCGCTTTATCTCCTCCAGTTGCATTTCCTTTTTATTTTTTATTTTATTTTTTTTTTTTTTTTTAGGCTTCACTTCCCCTTCCATTTTTCTATCAACCTCAACTCGACTAACCGGCGTATCTGGATGAAACCTTTTTTTTAAATCTTGTATTTCATACCCTTCCCCCTACTGCTATTCCTGTCCATATTTTCTCATAGATCAGATAATGTATCTATCTTCATCTATTACATGGGTTTTTCTTTTTTCCTGTTTAGTTTTCAAACGACAGATTAAGCTATCATCGTCGTCTATCCACGTGAGAATTCGCACTTATTTCAAAGAGTGGGAGAAGTTTAGATTAAAGATTAAAGTATATCTTTAAATTGTCTTACGTCTCGTTATCTCATTTATATTATCTTTTGATTTTTGTATAATAATAGTCCACGTGAGAATTCTCACTTTATTTCGAAGAGTGGGAGTGAGAGAAGTTTAATTGTACGCCATGCAAATTCTTACGTTCATCGTCAGGCCATGCACTGTAAAATGAAAAGGTAAACGTCAGGCAATGGGGCCTGACACGACCTGAATGTGAAGTTCATCGTCAGCCACCTGTGACTGACATGGCCTGAATGTGAAATTCATCGTCAGTCACATGTGGCTAACATGGCCTGAATGTGAAATTCATCGTCAGTCAAATGTGACTGACATTGCCTGAATGTGAAATTCATCGTCAGCCACTTGTGACTGACATTGCCTAAATGTGAAATTCTTTATCAGTCACATGTGGCTAACATGGTCTGAATGTGAAGTTCATCATCAGCTACTTATGACTGACATGGCCTGAATGTGAAATTCATCGTCAGTTACCTATGACTGACACGGTCTGCATGTGAAGTTCACTGTCAGTCATTGATGTCCGATGTATCATTTTCAACGTGTTAAAGATTAAAGTATATCTTTAAATCGTCTTATGTTACGTCGTTATCTCATTTATATTTTTTATCTTTTATTTCTTTTGCTAAAGTACCAAAGTACTTTAAGATTACAGAAGAAGAAGAAGAAGTAGAAGGGGTAAAAGGGGTTGTTTAGTTGGGTAATTTGAAGCAAGGATAAGTAGTAAACTTGTGTTAAAGTGAGAGAGAGAGAGAGAAGATAAGTCCTTCGGTTCATTTACGATTCGTTTCCTGGATTTGTTCAATTCACCTAAGGCTATTCACCATGAACAAAACAGCAACAACACAACAATAACAATAACAAAAACGATGAGTACTACTTTGAACTATCATCATCATGCTCGTTTTCTCATAGTTTTCCTTAGATTATCTTTCTTTTTAGTATAATATGGATACTCTTATATAGGTATAATATAATAGTTCCTAGTATAGGAAATTTGTGATAATAGTTAAGCTCGTTAACTGCAATTGACATTAAAGCAAGTCTTTCGAATTGAGTGTCTTGTTTCTACGATTCGTTAATGAAGGTTGGTCATTTTTTGTTGGTTGGTTGGTTGTTGGAGGCTAAAGAAAATTGGAAAGGGATCGGCACGAATCCTTCGTCAGGTTGTTGTTGCATTCGAGGTCATAGTTAGACGATGGGTTATGTGAAAGAAAGAGAGAGAGAGAGAGAGAGAGATGGTGAGCTTTGTCGTGGCTGGTTCCCAGGTCAAAGGTTCAAACCTTCCCCTTCTTCTTCCTTTTCTTTTGCTTCTTGTTGTTGTTGTTGTTGTTCTTTTTCTTCGTTTTCCTTGCCATGACCTCGACCATCGTGGCAAAGTCAACGCTAACAATGAGGAATGTGCTAAGGTTCACGTGCCGGATTGGGTTGATGCACTGTTACGAAGATTAATGCACTTACTTTTCTCTCTCTTTCTCTCTCATTTTATCTTTTTTTTATTTTGGTATTTCTTTTCATTTGGAAGATATTGATAAGGTTTTGGTTTCTTTTTATATTGAGGATATTTAAATAATATTGTTTAATTTATTATTTTAATTACAAGTTTAAAGAGAGAGAGAGAAAGAGAGAGAGAGTAGAACGTAACGTAAGGAAAATGATGATGTATCACGGGAATGCTTTACAAGAGAATTTTACCATGAGTTAAAACATTTATTTCATGGTGAACTCGTCTACCAGGTTTCCTATCAACGTAGAGACCGGTTGTGACGTAAAGGTCAGCAAACGGCTACCGTAAATAGTGCGACATTAAAGTTTGCACTCTTGCTATCTTGTATCCAGTCTCCTTCTCTTTCCTATCCACTTTTTCTTCTACTTTGTTTTGTGTTTTTTGTGTTTTTTGTTTTTTCTAATCTTCTATTTCAATCGTTAAATAAAATTATCAAAGTCATTAGAAGATTATAAAAACAAGTTACCTAACTTGAAATTACCTACACCCTCTCTCTTACCTCTTCCTATTTTATGATAATTATTTAGTACACTAATATACTAGTAATACACTAGTACATATATGTATATAGTATATAGGATAGGTTTAATTTTAAAAATATTAATTTAAAAATATTATTTTAAAAATATTAAATTAAAAATATTACAAATTTAATTATATTATGATAATTATTTAGTATACTTAGTACTAGTACTAGTAGTATACTAGTATATATATAGTATATAGGATAGGTTTCATTTTAAAAATATTAATTTAAAAATATTAAATTAAAAATATTATAAATTTAATTATATTATGATAATTACTTAGTATACTTAGTACTAGTACTAGTAGTATACTAGTATATATATATATATATAGTATATAAGATAGGTTTAATTTTAAAAATATTAAATTTAAAACATTAAATTAAAAATATTAATATAAAAATATTATATAGGTTTAATATTAAAAATATTATATAAATTTAATTATATTATTATAATTACTTAGTATACTAGTATACTAGTACTATACAAGTATATATATATATATATATATATATAATAAGATAGGTTTCTTTTAAGTTAAACCAAGTTGGGATGGAATATAAAGTACGTTACCATCTAAGGAACATACCATTGGAAAAGGGAAACCATTAATCTGGTTATCCATGACATTAAAGGTAGCATAAATCTGCATGTTCCAGTAGCTGATCCAAACTAAAAGGAAAAATAAAAATAAAAAGAAGAAAAAGAAGAAGATGAAGTATATCCCAGCATCCCTTTAAGTTGTTTCAACAACAACATGATCACGATCAGGATCATATACTAACTGTATTTATCTCGATCAATGGCAGCCAATAGCCGTAAGGAAAATGACCCAACTATAATATCATGGGAAGATGGCCTTGAAAGGGTGTGATACCGGAAACTATTAATGAGATTTTTTTAAATAATTTTTGTTGTTTTTATTATTATTATTATTAACCAACTAACCAACTCAATCAACCAAATAACCAACCAACCAACCAATCAACCTAAATTGCACTTGGTTAATGCTAATTTTGATGCATCAAAGAGATTCTTGGTTTAATATTTATGATCAAGTGTCGCAGTTCATTAAGCACACCCTGTAAAGGGTTAGTTAGACCTTGAATTACGTTAGGATCGTGTTCTTCAATGCTCTTGGTAAAGTATCGTTTTACGGCGTTACATGGGTTTACCCGTAAACGGATAAACGCTTCAGAAGATTCTACGATCTATCGTCATGGTTGTGGATCTTTTATATATAATCTCTGATGAAAGATAATTTTTCTTTTCTTTTTTTTTTTTTTATCTATATCTATCTATCTATCTATCTATCTAACTGTGTATGTATGTGTATTGTGTGTTGTGTGTGTGTGTGTGTGTATTTCATTCTGGCATCTATCGATTAACAGTTCTTTTGCGAATTAAGATTTAATTATATTCATTAGTTGAAATAAAAATAAAAATTAATAAATAATAATAAAATTTATGATAAAATAATATACAGTTTTTTTTATATTTCAGAAGAAAAAAAAAATTACAAATTACAAATTACAAATTACAAATTACAAATTGTCTTAGTATGATTTATAATATCAATACGAAAAAAAAAAAAAAATAGATTCTACGTAAGTTACTTATGACACGATTTAATACTAAACATAACCTAAAAAACAATGTATAAAAAACCTATTTTGTTTGTTCTCATGAAAATTCAAAAGCGAGATTTCCTTAATCGATTTTCGATAAAACACCGATCTATTGAAACAAGACGATTTCTCAAGAAACCTTGGAACATGGTTGTTGGTTGTTTATAGGAAGTTAACGCATTTCATAGCCCTTCTTTTTCCCTATCTTCGAGTACCTAAACATGTTAAGTGTTGACTATATTTATACGTGCTAGTGTTTTAAACATAAGAAAGTTTGAAAAGAAAAGAAATAATAGGTATTTATCTTCTTCTTCTTCTTCTTTTTCAGTTTCATTTTCTTATTTCACGAACAACCCGCATGTTCAATTCAACCCCCTCCCCCCTAACCCCCACGCAAATTCCACCCACAAACAACCGGCGATCCATTACGATAAACCCTAACCTAACCAACGTTGGCTTATCCTAACGTTTAATCAGACGTTTTAGTTGAGAAATAATCTAAAGGAAACTAACCAAACTCCTCAACCCACCGTCACCCATCCCTTCTCCCCATTTCCATCTAACCACAAGGTTACCAATTTACCGGTTAATACACCTATGGAAAATCCGTGCGAACGTTGAGGGATACCAACAACGAGAGCCAATTAATGACACTAACGATCCTTAAGGGATCATTTTCGTTATCCTATGCTTCCTTCTCCCTCGTCCCACCTCAAGTTTATTTTTTCTTCGAACAACACTACTAATTAAAGTTAAATACACTTTAGAGATTGTATAATATAATAAGAACGAAGTGAGATTTTCCCAAAGCAAAAGAAAGAAAGAAAAAGAACATAAGGAAACAAACAGTTTTCCATAAAATTGAAATTAGTTACGGAAGGAAACCATCGAAGCTTAAAGTCACGATTGCATACTCCCCCCTTCCCCTCTTCTTTCCCCTTTCCCCCTTTCCCCTTTCCCCATTCTTCATTCCCTAAGGGATAGACTTTTAAATGATCATTCACGTTCCCAAAAGGATTTTTAATACAACTAACAGAATATGGGCTGATTATTTTGAAAGTTCGTCAATTATTCGTTCGTCTATCGAAAAAAAATGGTGTCCATTTGAAAAATAAAATAAAATAAAATAATAAATTATTTCTAATTGGAATAATTAATTAATTGAATTACTTGTAACATGGTGGCAATTTGTATATTACATTTAAAAAGAAAAAAAAAAACCAAAATGGGGCCTTACCCCATCGTAGTGACGAAAAATTGAACTAATGTTTGTTTAAATGGACATTGTTAAAATGTCTTTTGTTCATGAAAATATTGATACGTTGTTGTCTTACCTTAAGTATATAAGATTGGGTATATATGTATATATATATATATATAGTACTTATTTACTTAAGGTACTTAGGTCAAAAGGAATCATCCCCGATGAACTCGATGAACTCGATCATGGCGTTAAGACGGGTAGCACTCTTGGTTTGTGCGGATTCATAAATAATGAGATCTAGGGAACGAGACAAGGAACGTTCCTCTTGTTGCTTATAGACGACCAGAAGAAGAAGAAGAAGAAGAAGAAGCAAACCTTAAAAGAAAAAGAAGAAGAGAAAGGCAAACGTGGCCAGGTGGTTCTCGTTTAAACCGAGGGATTCATAAACAATGAAGGAACGTAAATCGGTCTGGAGCTTCCTGTTGGAAAGGCGTACTCTCTTCTATATACATAGAAGACTATATATATATTCACATCTTGGATCTCTCCTTTCCTTCGAAGGTACTCGTTGTTGGTCAGCACTAACCATCAAGCAAGTAACCAACCAACCAACCAACTACTACTACCACCAAGTGGATCATTTTTCCAGCTCGTTTGGTCGATCCTATAAATCATTGGATCACCGTTGGAATTTACAACTGATGTTGAAGAAGTTGCTCAGGTAAATATAGCGTGAGAAAATAGTGTCTTAAAAGATTGACATACTTGTCTTACAATATATTTTTCTTCCATCTCAATTGATAACGATCTGTAAACTTAGTATCGATAAATCAGATCAATCAGTTCAGATCTGATCAGATGAGATCAGATCAGATCAGTTAGCAAACGATATATCGATCAATCGTTTACAGTAATTAGCAGGTTGTGTCGTGAACATTGGTGAACGATGTACGATGTTAGAAAAGGTTGAAGTTTCAAACTAGGAAGTGTAAGAGAAACGGGGGAGTTATACTAAGAAATATGATTATGTGTTCGTAGTATCTTCTTCTTCTCTCTCTCTCTCTTTCTCTTTATATCTATCTTTTTATTTCTTTATATGTTTTATGGTACAACGACCTCACCAAGCCCTTGACTCTTCCCTTTCTCGCAATATACCCACGCCAGTACAAGAATTATAATCCCACTAGTATATCCTTCGAGTTCGTTTTCCTTACCGACAACGTCTCGTCTCGTCTTCTTTCCTCTGTGTTATTAGCTTGGATTAAAGGGCGAACTCGCAAGACGTGCTGCTAACCAACCAACCAACCAACCAACCAACTTCAACCTTTTGCTAAACGTCTATTCGAAGAACTTGCTATTTTAGTTGAAGAAGAAGTAACAATATCTTTTCTTTGCAACAGCCAGCGTGCGAAGGATAATTCAAACCTTTTTTTTTTTCTTTTTTTTTTACGATGATTAAGGCTTTCTCAATAGTGATGATGACGATGATAAGGATTCGTTAAGTTTTACAAGAGAAAACAACTTCATCCGTCGTTCTAGTTTTTTGTCTTCATATTTTTATTTCTTTTCTTTCTCTCTGATCATCATCATCATCATCATTATCATCATCATCATCTTGATAATCGTCATCGTCACAGAGAAAATTCTCGGCCTTGAATCTCTCTAGGTACTATATAACTTTATACTTTATGTTGAGAGATCAAGCACCGGATAATGCACGGAAGTTGCTAGGTAGTTCGACAAAGTGGCAGTTTTGTTCGGTACTTCGTAAAAGGAAAAGGAAGAACAAACGGAACGTACAAGACTCGCGTGCGACGTAAAACTATAAAATCTCACAGATAAGATATCCAAGAATGAGAGAGAGAGAAAGAGAGAGAGAGGGAGAGAAGAATAAAAAATAAAAAAGAAATGACGTTCAAATTACATCGGTCACGAATAGAGTTATTGCTATCGTAAATTCTCCAATTATATTATTGTATATACATTTTTTTTTTGTTTTTTACTTTATTATTTTGTAAAAAATATTTATCGAATAACTAATCTTAGTTATTCTTCGTTGAACTTTTAATTATCTCATCGTTTATTCATAAAGCGTGTTACTTAAGAAAATGTATTTGCACGTGTATAGATATAATGTTAAATATTATTTTAAAATAGAGATAATAAAAGGGATAATAGTCAAGGATAAAGATAAAACAATACAAATATAACGGAAATGGAAGAAAAAAGTGAAGTTAAGTTATGCTTATTTGTATTTAAATATATCTTTTCATGTATCTGAATATGTAAAATATGTTTCTTCTGTTTGTATTTAGATTTCTTTCGCGCGTTAAGATTGAGAGTTGCACGCGCATGCGTCAGATAATACGCATGCGAACGTGAGATAAAAGACTATTGCGCATGCGCGAATCTATCAGCTGACAGGAGTTCAAGTTACTTTGCAGTGATTTTACATATTATTCATTGTTAATAATTATTTATTCATATATATATTATTAATTAATTGTTTTTACCGTTGTACAGTGAATATTTATCAGTGAAAAACTATTTCTTTCGTGCATTTATTAGAAGATAAGATTGAAAGTTGCTCGCGCATGCGTAAGATAGCACGACTGGGAACGTGAGAAAGAAACCTACTGCGCATGCGTCAATCTATCAGCTGTCAAGAGTTCAAGGTATTTCGCACAGTGATTTTACATATTATTAATTTTTAATAATTATTTATATATATGTGTGTGTATATATATACTTTTTTATTAATTAATTGTCTTTATATTGTGCAGTGAATAATTATCCGTGACAAGACTTGTATGAAAGTGAAAAAATCTTCAAAAGTGTTTTTCATTGTTTAAGGTTAGTTTTTGTAAATCTCTCTTTTTTAAAGTATTTATTTATTAATTCAATAAAACTTGTTAAATTTAATAATTTTATATTAATTTCTTTATTTTTTATTACAGATCATTTTTCATAATTCGGATTTTAATTGAAAACTGCATCCTAATGCTGCATCATAATATCTGTAAGTACTTTTCTTTCTTTTATTACTTCAAAAAAGTATATTTTTTAATTATTTATAATATTTTATTGTATGTATATGTGTTATCATTAAAAGTGTGCAATTAGTAAAATTATAAAATAATGATAGTTAAATTAGAAATAGAATTGCATACTTGCATTCATATTATATAAACAATACTATAGTTATTATTAAACAATTAGTTTGATTAGAATCAAATTCTTTATATATGCTTTTTCTTATATATAAAACATTTAATTACATTTTTTAAGATTTAAGGTTTCTTATGAATTAATTAAATGATGCACTTTAATAGTAACATATATATATTTGCATTATTATAAACAGTTATAAATAGACACACACACACATATATGCATAAGATAATTATCTATAATTAAAAAACCAAAAACGTCATAGTTACATCAAAAGAAAATAACATCATTAATTAGATAGATAAACTATAAATATAACTAAATAACAGTAAAGTAATATAAAAAAAAAAGCAGAAAGAAAATAAAAATAGAACGAGATAGGGAAATTAAAAAATAAAACAAGAAACGAAAATGAGAAGAAAATAAGAAGAAGAAGCAGCAGAAGGAGCAGAAGAAGAAGAAGAAGAAAACAACGAAGAAGAAAAAGAAAAAGAAGAAGAAGAAGAAGAAGAATTGCACCTTGCTCAACGAGCCAGTTGTTGGGGTAAAAGCAAAGTGGCTTGCGGCCACTCCCGTCTTTTGATTCGCGTGAGATAGTCGTCGTAGTCGTCTTCCCTTCCTCTTTCTTTTCTCTTCTCTTCTTCTTCTTCTTCTTCTTCTTCTTGTTCTTTTTCTTACTCGAAGCGAAAAGGAGGCATCCATGGAACGATAAGCGAAGGATAATGGATGAATGCGAAGAAGAACGTAGGTTGGAGGATATACCGGAAATTGGATGCATAGACAACGCATAGCTCCAGGCTTATATATTTTTATGTATATACATATATAACTATGAATGTATACATATATATATATATATATATATGTATATGTTTATTAACATAAGTATAAATATATGTTATTGTAAATTATATACGGTGTACATCGATACATGTATGTATGTGGATGGTAATGTGAAGGAATGTATCGATGTACATATAAGGTATATACATACATATATATATATATGTATGTTAATATAAGTTTATATATAGGGTATTGTAAAAATTATATTGTTTATTGTATATATAGGGTATTGTTAAAATTGTATTGTATATTGTATACACAGTGTACATTGATACATATATGTATGTAGTATGCAGATGGTAGTGCGAAGGAATGCATCGATGTACATATAAGGTATACATTTATACATATATATGTATATTAACATAAATGTATATATATGTAATTGTAAAATTATATGTTATTGTAAAAATTATATTGTATATTGTATACAGTGTACATCGATACATATATGTGTGGTATGCAGATAGTAGTGCAAAGGAATGCATCAATGTACATATAAGGTATACATTAATACATATATATGTATATATATATTAATATAAGCATTTATATATGTTATTGTAAAATTATATTGTTTATTGTATATTTAGGGTATTGTAAAAATTGTATTTTGTATATTGTATACAGTGTACATCGATACATATATGTATGTGGTATGCAGATGGTAGTGCAAAGGAATGCATCGATGTACATATAAGGTATACATTAATATATATATATTAATATAAGTATTTATATATGTTATTGTAAAAATTATATTGTATATTGTATACAGTGTACATCGATACATATATGTATACAGATTGTAATGCTAAGGAATGTTACCGATGTGCATATAATGTATATATATATATATATTAATATAAGTTTAAGTTGTATATTATATATAGTTCACATCGATATATATATGTGTATATACATGAATGTATACAGATGGTAATGCGAAGGAATGTACCGAAGCAAAATGTTCACTTCTTCAGCGAATGATAACCATTGAAGTTGTTGATGCGTTACAAATTCCATGTAACAAGAACATCTTGAATCGTCAAATCAATTCCTTGCTAACAGGTGACAAGAAGTTTGCTGGAATGAGTTTTGTTTTACCTGTTTATCTGTTTTTTTTTTTTCTTTTTTTATTCTCATAAAGTTTCTTAAGATTTTTCATTTCTATATATCAATCTTGATAAACATGATGCATTTATAATATTTCTAATAAGTAATGTAAATCATTTCTAACAACCCATGTAAATATTAACCGTTATTCTAATGATAGAAGTTGTTAAAAACAAAAAAAAAACAAAAAAGTACAAATGAGTGAAAAAATGTTGCATGATGTGGTAACATTGAAGAGAGTTTATAGAAGTCCTCTTATTTACAGTTAACTCGATGTCCAATCTCTCTCGTTTATCGTGTGGTAGCATTTAAACGTGTTACACTCGATATCTTAGAGATACAAATAGACTGTAAAAGACTGTAATCTAATTTATTTTAATTCTTTTTTTTTTTAACTTCTATTTCTTCTTCTTCTTCTTCTTCTTCTTTTTTTATCTCTCATTTTTATTTTGCATGAGATCAAGAGATTAACATAAGTCTCCTTCCGTTAGATTAGCTTTGATACTTGATGGAATATTTTCTATCTTATTTTTATTTTTTTACATATATTATATTTTTCATCTGATTAGTTTTTCTTTTTTTTTCAATCACGATATTACACGATAATAATAATAATAATAATAATAATAATAATTAATGAATAATAATATGTAAAATAAGTTATCTTTTAATGAATTCAATTTTTTTTCTTTTTCTTTTTTTTTAAATGAAATTAATTACAATGAATTTCATTTTTCAAATTGCACACACACAAACACACACACATTATTATAATTTCCATTTGAAATAATTATTAGATATTATCTATAAGATAATCTATCTATAAATCTATCTAATTGAACCATAAATATTAAATAAATTAAATTAAATAACACGAATTGATCCTTTTAAGAAACATATGCATGTGTGTGTATGTATATATGTGTGTGTGGGTAGGTAGGTAAAAAGGTAGGAGTGTTTACATTTGCAAAGATCAAAGGTGTAACTCGGAAGTCGTTGTTTAATTTTTCTATTAATGGAATGCACTTAAGTGCAAGTGCATACACGGATATTACATTTATACTCGTAACACGTTGTTCAATTATATTTGTACAAGACATTTTGCGTTATTCGTTGTAATAATTAATAACTATTTAATTCAGTGTTTGTAATTTTTCTTCTAATGACTCCTTTTTCATTCTAATTGTTTATTTATTATTTTCAATTTTTTTTTTTTTTATTACAGTAAGAAACACACAAGTGCAACTGCAATTGCAACAGCAAAGTCTTCTGGTGTGGCTGAATCGAAAGAAAATTCTCTTTCTTTTTTTCATTTCCTATTTTTTTTTTTACTTGTTGATCAATGCAAATGTAGTCGCCAGAAATAGGAGGAATAAGATGAGAAGAAACGTAGGAGGAGGAGGAGGAGTAGGAGGAGATGGAGGTGGTTGAGAGGAGACAGGTAGAGTTAACGGCAAGAGGAAGAAGAAGAAGAAGAAGAAGAAGATTTAAAAAAAAAGAAGAAGAAGAAGAAACAAAATAAAACCATGCTGAGAAGGAACTGGATGTACCGCTCAAGGACACGATCTACCTCAACAGCCAGTCTCGTAACGAGGATGTTGTGGAAGAGGAGGTGGAGAGGAGGTTGGAACTTGCCAGACGAGGAATGAACAAGAAGAAGAAGAAGAAGAAGAAGAAATAATCGAAAAATAAGTCAAAGAAGTAAACCCTCATCGTTCACGTTCACGTTTACATTTACGTTTACGTTTACGTTTACGTTTACGTTTATGTTCACAAAAGCCAGAAAAAGGAAAAGGGATTGAATTCTAGGGTGAGTTGTTCGTGTTTACATTAAACTCAACCGTTCAAGATCCTTTTTCTTTTCTTTTCTTTTTTTTTTTTTTATATATTTGTTGGTTTCAAAGAGATTCATGTAACTTTTTGAATTCACAGGATCGTTCGTTCGTGCTTTAGAAACGTCGTGGGATATCGAATGAAGGAATGAGTGAATAAAAAGAAGAAGAGGAAGAGGAGGAGGAAGAGGAGGAGGAGGATTCCTTTGTTCGTTTGGTACGTGCTCGATAAATTAAGGGCTTGGTGGAAGGACTGGAAGGGACTGAAAGAAGACTGGAAGGACTGGAAGGATGTAAAACGTGAGTTATATGCTAATTTATCCATCATTAATAGTTGTTGTTTTGGTTTGTGTTTGTGTTCTTATTTTTGTTAATTAAGTTGTATTTTTTTTTTTCAGTAGATTGTTTTGTTTTTGTTTTTTTTTTTTAAGATGATGAATTGTTTAAACTCTTGTTATTATTTATTGTTATTAATTAATTAGTTAACTTGTTTGTGTTTTTTTTTTAGAGTATGAGATTAATTTTTTTTTTTTTAAATGATTAATCGTTTATATTTTTTTTTTTTAATTATTTTTATCAGTTAATTTGTACTTTTTATTAATAATAATAATAATAATAAATATAAATTCATATTAATATGAAAAATAATTAAATAAAATCTACTAACATTTCATCTAATAATCTAATAAATACATCACACACACACACACACAACTATAAAACAAATTAATCAAAATTATAATAAAATAATTTGAAATTAGTGAAATTATTTCATTAATATAAAATACAATAACATTAACATAAATGTAAATGAACTCTTCACGACAGACTCTTAAACGACAATTTCAAAAAGGATGAGATTTTAAATGTCATAATAAAATATAGACATAGTTTAAAAATAGAAGCAGTAGAAGACAAAAAAAAAAATACTCAAATATACTAAGGAGCACTAGATATGATGGCAATGTTAAATCTATAATTATCTTCGTGTATGCACGTAGTATTCAAAAAGGGTTGGAATTTGAATGGAAGGTAGGAAAGTTGATGATGCTGGTACTATTGCTGCTGCTGCTGATGATGATGATGATGATGATGATGCTGTTGTTGTTGCTGGTTACTGTTGCTGGTTACTGCTGATGTTGCTGATGTTACTACTAACATAAGATTGCTTGCTCGTTGCCTAGAGGCACATAAATGCAAAATACTTAAAAGCAATTACCGATAATCATCACGGCACCTTGCAGCAGCGTTACGTTGCATTCTCAGAAATGTACGATGTTTTTACCCATAATTTTGTAGAACGTAACAAGTAATGTAATGTAACAACGACAGATAACAACAATAATAATAAATTAACCAAAAAAAAAAATATATATATATATATAACAATGATTTAAAATGATATTATTGAAATAGGTTTAATTATCTATTTTAAGAATCTTTAAGTATTAAATTATTATTCATTGAAATGTTTAGTATATACATAATGAAATATATTTGATTACTAGTGTGTTGTTTGTCTATTTCGTTGTGAAAATTGATTTTATTCATTATAAATTTAATTATAAATAATATAAATTGATTTAATAAATTTTTTGTAAATATTATATTTATATATATATATTAATATTTAATATTTTATATAATATCGCGAATGTGTGTGTGGAAGGATTGCGTTCAGGGATGGGAACAATGGCGGGATTTGGTATTTGTGGCAATGAACTTTCGAGTTACTAATGCCAATTAATAATAATAATAATAATAATAATAATAATAATAATAATAATAAAAGTAACTTGTAACCTTAAT